CAATTGAGGGCAGTTATTCCATTTTTTATGGTCATCTGGCTTGTTTCTTCATGTATATATACATGTTTGGTCTCAACATTATGCAACTTTTATATGTATATATACATGTTTGGTCTCAACAGAATGCAGCTTTTATATGAATATCTTGCTTTGAAATTACTTTATAATCTGATATCTATTTATTCTGTTTTTTTCTTTTGGGTGCTAGGGTTTAATGAACATGATGAACTCGATGTACCCAAACGCCGAGCATCATTACTGTGTCATCCATATGTTCGTGAACTTTAGTGGCAAGTTCACTAGGTCCAAGAGGCTGAGAGACCTTTTCTATAATGCTGCCAGTTTGACTTATAGGGCACAATATTTGGAAGTCATGGACGAGATAGAGACGGTTGGGGAGAGCTGCAAGGTTGGTGATCAAACACCGCATCAATGGCTAATGGAAAGAGATAGAACTCAGTGGTGCAAGGCGTTCTACAGAACAAACAACAAATGTGACATGGGAGCTAACAACCACTGTGAAAGCTTCAACAAGTACATTCTGGAGTCAAGAGACATGCCAATCCTATCTTGCTTGGAGGACATATTTGACAAAGTAATGAAGAGAGTTGTTGTAAAAAAGAGGTTGTTGCAGCGTCTAGAAGAGAAGGGAATTCATATCTGCCCAAAGCCGATACAAAGGATGAAAATCTACAGGGGGTGGGCTGCTTTTTGCTTCCCAACCTTCAATGGCAACATGGAATATCAGGTGCAATCATATAGAGGCAGATATGTTGTGGATATGAGGAATAGAACATGTGCTTGTGGTAGTTGGCAGCTCAGTGGCATCCCTTGTCAACATGCCATTGCATGCATGAAGATGAACAACGATCCTCCAGAGCGGTATATGGATGACTGTTACCGTGTCGACACATGCAAGAAAGCCTACTCTTTTGCTGTCCTCCCTCTCAATGATTCAAGTCAATGGATTCATGACGATTGCATTGATCTTGAATCGCCTATATTTCAAGAGAAGAAGAGGGGTCCTAGACAGAAAAAGAGGCGTAAGGAAGCATGGGAGGTGGAGAAAGCAAAGAAAGTTAAGAAGGGAAGAGCATACACAGCCATGTCAAAGGGTTGAAGCGAGATGACATGCAATGTATGCCACGAGAGAGGACATAACAGCCGATTCCATGCGAAGGTGAGAATCTGCCCATGTTTTCTGAATCTGCCAATGTTTTCTTCAACGTTAATCCTCCGAATTTTGTTTATGATTAATTGAAATGATGCTGCCATCTTCACGTAGTTATTTTTTTACCAGAATTCTGGTGGTGACGAAGCAGCAAATCCATCGGGAACATCTACTCAACCTTTATGCCTACTCCAGCATTTGTACCACCATCTGAGAACGCGCCAAGGATGAAGGTCACAGTTCGAAGGGGTCGTGAGAGGGGTCGTGGTAATACTGGTAGGGGTCGTGGCAGGCATAATGACTAGTTGATGAACTAGTAGTCATTGAACCTTTTTTAGGAGCTGATTAGATCATCTTTTGTGAACACCTTTTTTGTGACATGTTGATTGCTTGTTGAAACTTTCATGACAAGCCAACCCATGTCAAGTAGGATCTAATCAACTTGGTGAATGTAATCTACAATATGGATCTTTAAATATGCAGGTTTGATGTTTTTTGGTCAGGTTTAATGTCCATTACAGGTCTCTGACACTGACTGAAGTTACTCTTACAGCAGTCTCTATACGCAATAGCTTTGTGACCATTTTGTTACAATGACCAAATGACTGTGACCATTTCGTTATAATGACCAAATGATTGTGACCATTCTGTTTATTATTTATTAGTATTATGACCCTTTTGTTATCGACAATAAAGCTATATTACCATTGCAAACTTAGTTCGAACAACCAGAAACAGAATTAGATTGCAAACTGAACAAAACAGAAACAGCATACATGAGGATTTCATGTTCTACATTAAACATATCTACCAATAACAATTCCTACAATCACACAAATGACTACATAAACTAGATTAATTGATCGTGCATGCAGATCTTCACTTTGGTTGCCCCTTCAAGATTGTTCATCGTTGCGTGCTGTCGATGAAAAAGAATTTGTCTCATTCAGCAAGCTCTCTTCCCTTGATCTTATTTCCATGTTCTTAACCTTCTTCAACAGCCCATTGATGACAGCTCTTGCCCTATCTTCGACTGGAGGGTCGATCCATTCAAAAAAATCACAGTGGTGGGATAATTTCTTCATAAAATGAAAGAGAAGAGAATGGTTACCAAATCTTCTTATGGTGAACACAGAAATCAGAATCAAATTCAAAATCCTTACCAAATAATTTCTCTTACAACGGAAGAAACTTCTACCCGGATTATCTTCCGTCCATGATGTTAGCAAAACAACTCTGTCTTGACACTTGCAAGTAGGCACAAAACCCATTTCAGCCTGACTCTTCTTTTCCTTATGCTTATTTTGGATATGGGAATTTAGGGTTTTTTCGTTCAAATGAAGGGGGGGGGGGGGGAGAAGGGGGAGACAGAGGATGATTAATGACAGGTATGGTTTTTGTTCTTATAGGGGTGAGTCATGGGTAAAGGGTTGTTTGAACCGGTTGGTTGGAATCTCGGGTTAAGTGGGTTAAGTAAAATATTTTTTAATATTCTTACACTGACGTGGCATGCTGACGTGGGGTTTTGGGACGGAATAGGATGGATTGACAATTTCGTTATTTGCTCAAACCTTTATTACCTAAACGTGCAAATTTAAAGGATTGGACGGATTAACCATAATGGGACCAGCTACTTTCAATCCAGAAAAAACGAATAGGATAATGGGACCAGGCACTTTCCCTACCACAACCCGACAACAAAATCAATTCTTTTCCCCAATTCTTTTATAGCAACAAAACCCTCACCCCTCATGTTCTAAACCCTAAAAATTCTTCTGAAAAGTGAGAATTTTTACCATAGTCGGGCTTTAGATGGCGACTATGGGCCGAACGAAGCTTCCACTCATCCATTGTTCGTTAGTCGGAGCAGCTATGCAATTTCCAGCCACGCATGCACAAGATCGGCTGGGCTTTAGGGGAACTTCGCCGAGGATGACAGGAGAAGGGAAGATCGGACGAGGAATCGCTCCCGCGCGTCGAGGATGATAGGGGATGGACGATTGTTGGCGCCGGCGCGGCGGTCTTGGCGACGGCGACGGCGACGATTTCGAGCGACGAACTTTCAGTAGTGGCGGCGAGGAGGATTTCGAGCGACGAACTTTCAATCGTTGGCGGCGGCGAGGAGGATTTGGCAACGACGCTGAATCGCTCTCCCAACAGTCAGTGGCGACGTTCTTTCGCCTTCCTTCAGAGTTCCAAGTCGCGATTTGGGGGGGGGGGGGGGTTGAGAGTGAAGACAGACTGCAGATTGAATACGATAGGGGGTGAGTCATGGGTAAAGGGTTGTTTGAACCAGTTGGTTGGAGTCTCGGGTTAAGTGGGTTAAGTTAAACATTTTTTATTATTTTTACACTTACATGGCATGCTGACGTGGCGCTTTGGGACGGATTGACAATTTAGTTATTTGCTCAAACCTTTATTACTGATACGTGCAAATTTAAAGGATTGTGACCATTTTGTACAAAGTGATTAGGTTTGTGACCATTTATGATAACTAACCCCCTTCTACCTGGCATGGCTTTTTGCTGTGAGTTTGTGTCTATCGCGTTTGTCCGGATGGAAACACATGCTTTGCCTTTTTTACGGTATCAAAAACCGCCTTGTGGTGGCTCAAGATAGGATGGTTATGCACTCATCAATAACTAAATCGGGACCCTTTATTTAGAAAATCCAGATCTAAGGATGAAGAATTAAAGGTCATTTTTATTTTACCTAGCTTTCTTAATCGACTCGTATCTTTTTTGTTTTAACTCGGATTTTAATTTTTTTTTTTTTTTTGCACAGATGAAATGAGTTCATCGTGCTCTACAAAATGAGATCAATTTTCAATATTTTTTTAGAAAAAAAAAATGTGGCATCTCGGTACTAACTGCATACCATATGGTATCTTCTTCGTTTTTAAGTCTTTTTTGAAAACGTTTGCATAGAAGGGACGAGTTCATCATGATCTATTGGATCTACAAAATTCTGGGTGAACAAATTACAGGACCAAAAAAATACCACACAATATCATACAATACCACCCTGGTACGGGGTGGTATCTTGTGGTACACAATGTTAAAAGTCGTAAATGACAGTTAATATAATTCTACTATCATGTATTCAACCATCCTACTGTCTTGGTTTGTTCATACCACCATGATACGCTTTTCAAACCATAGGTATGTTTTTATTTCAATACCAGTCAATACCATATGGTATAGACTGGTAAAAAATGGCTCAATTTTTTTGTTCGCAAAATATATCAAAGTGAATATCATTTTGAAGAGCACAATTAATCTGATCTAACTGTGCAAAAAAAAAATTCAAATTAAAACGAGTGAGAAATTGTCCGTCAAATATTAAAGAGGAGAAAATTAAATGCTTTTCAGGAGAGAGAGGGATGCTCATGTCATGCTGATGTGGACGGGTTACTCATGGTTACTCACCATAAGATTACTGACCTGATCCGTTCTTTATGATAGTTAATTTTGGACCACACGTTAGTAATTAAATATTAGACTACAAATTTGTTATTAAATCCTACTTTTACCAACCGACAGGTTTCATGTGCCGCCGCTCCAAGAACCCAGCAGGTTACCGAAACGAGAAAGAGTAAAAGTGGGAAAAAGTGAAAAAGCAGCCACGACGTAGCCCGCGTTAGACTTTGGTTAGCTAGCTAGCAAATGCCAAGTCAAAATACGAATCTATGGATAGTGGTTCCCTTCCCACTTCAAACAATCTCGCACCGCCCTCCCTCTCCTCTCCTCTCTTAATCCCCACCAGCGCAGCACCAACACCATTCTCCCAGCTTCCTCTATATATATAAGTTCCTTCTTTCACCAAAACCATCATCACCGTTATCTTCGTAACATTAATCACCAACGAATCTTTCAGCGACGAGGAATATAACCCATTGCAAAAGCTTTCTCCATTCCAGAGGAACCCCAGCTAGTTAGTGTCGAGGCTCGATCGATCGAGAGGGAGAGAAGTAAGAATGTCGACGGGGAGGAGATCAACGTCGAGTAGCGGTAGTCTCTTCATCGTGGTTGCTCTACTGATGACGGCGTTGTCCACACAGATGACGGCCGTTAGCGGCGGCAGGGCTCTCCGGTCAGAAGCTTTGCCCATCGTCGGCGCCGGATGCGACCAAGCGGACGGCGGCCAATCTGGCGCCGGTATAGCTTCATTTGTCGCATCTTCCAGCAGCAATGGCGAGGATTTCTCGGTTTCGTTGCAAGGGTTGATGTTTAGATTGGCTTCCGGGCCTAGCAAGAGAGGCCCCGGCCATTAGTGACGAGTTTTCCGGTGTCATAATCCTCTATGCATGCATCCACATTTTGTACCGGCCGGCATGATTTTATTGTTATTTATTATTTCCTTTTTAATTTTCTTTTTCAGAATGAAGGAGGCTTTTATGTAATTGTATATGTATACTATACACAATCACATGTAGCGTACAATACAAACAGTACTTTAGCAACAGCGCAATCAAATTTTAGGGATTTCCTACTGTAACTAAGGTAACTTGATTTTTTTTATTTGTTATGGCAGGTTTCACAGGTCTCATTACCTAAAATACAATAGGCATTATCTAATATTTACGTAATATATGGTAATCTTACGTACCAGTTGTAAAATATTATTATGGAGGACTTACATAATAGAATGTGTCTTTACGTAATGAGTATTAACCTCGAGTTACGTAAAATGCTATGTCATTACGGAAGTCTTACGTAACACTACTAATTTAACTGTTAGTAAGAAATAATTGTCGTTTCGTATCTTTTACGTAATGAGTATTAACCTCGCGTTATGTAAAGTGCTAAGTCATTACGAAAGCCTTACGTAATGCTTCCAATTTAACTGTTACGTAAGAAATAACTATCGGTACGTAACCTTTATGTAATGAATGTGTATTTTATGTAGCAGTTGTAAAATATCTTTACGGAAGCCTTACGTAATGGACAGTCTCTTTCCGTGATGAGCATTAACGTCGTGTTACGTAAAGATTTAAGTTATTACGAAAGCCTTACGTAACGCTTCTAATTCAATAAGAATTAAATATATATATATATATATGGAAAACAACTAAATTTGAAATGGAAAGAAAAAAATAAGAATGGTAAGTTGTGTAGTGGTGACCAGCAACCCCTGTTACAATTTATTTTCTTAATTACTTATTTTTTTTATTTTTTATTAATTTAATCAATGGTTTAAATTAAGTTTGATAGATTTTAACGATTTAGATATATACAAGTTACCTAATTTGAAATTATACCCAAGTAATCGTAGGAGCCTTAATGACACAAATCGGTGGTTATAATTTAGGGAATTCCTACAATGTCGTGAAGTAAGGTAACTTGATTTTTTTGACCTGCTATAGCAGGTTGCATTACGTAAAACCCAATAGGTATTACGTGATGATTATGCAACGTATTTATAGTTTACATAACAGTTTACGTAATGGAGGCTTCTTTTACGTAATGAATATTTATCTCGCGTTACGTAAAATGATAAGTAATTACGGAAGTCTTACGCAATGCTTCTAATTTAACTGTTACGTAAGAAATTATTGTTATTACGGAAGCCTTATGTAATGAAGGGTCCTTTTACGTAATGAATATTAACCCTCTGTTACGTAAAGTGTTGAGGCATTACGGAAGCCTTACGTAACGCTTCTGATTTAACTGTTACGTAAGAAATAACTGTTGGTACGGAAGGCTTACGTAATGGATGTGTATTTTACGCATCAGTTGTAAAATGTCATTACGGAAGCCTTACGTAATTGAGGTTTCTTTTCCGTAATGAATATTAACCTTGTGTTACGTAAAGTATGAAGGCATTACGGAAGCCTTACGTAACGCTTCTAATTTAACTGTTATGTAAGAAACAATTGTCATTACGGAAGACTTACGTAATGGATGTGTATTGTACGTAACAGTTGTAAAATGTCATTAAGGAAGCCTTACGTAATTGAGGCTTCTTTTCCGTAATGAATATTAACCTTGCGTTACGTAAAGTGTGAAATCATTATGGAAGCCTTACGTAACGCTTCTGATTTAATTACTGCGTAAGAAACAATGGTCATTACAGAAGCATTACGTAATAGATGTGTATTTTACGTAACAATTGTAAAATATCATCACGAAAGTCTTATGTAATTGAGACTTCTTTTACGTACTGAATATTAACCGATCACGTTTGAGCTATTTACGGAAAATATTTAATTCGAGTCTTCCACAACATTTTCCGTATAAAACTATCATAAAAAATTACGAAAAGATAAAATAAAAAATATTAAATACATGCAATTGGGTAAAATCAAGCAGAGCTCCGAAGGTAAAAAAAAAAAGATATTGCTCAACGAAAAACAAAATGGAAAGAAAAGGGAAAAAAAGGAAAGTATTTGTAACATCCCAAACCTTTTCCCGACAAGATACTGCCCGCTTTGGGCCTCTCCACCCGCACAGATTTCGACTTGGGGTGCAATTCAAGGTGACTTCCCATAAGGTCACCCATCCTTGTTGTACTCCACACTGAGCACGTTTAACTTCGGAGTTCTCACAAGAACTCTTCCATTACACCCCAAAACGCGTCTTCTCAGTTAAGGTCGGTTTCTTACTTATGAACCATGGATCCCTCACGTGCTTTGTCGATGTGAGATTTGCCTAAGGTGTTACATACACCCCCCCCCCCCTTGGGACTCAACGCCCTCGTTGAGGTTTGCCCCACCATCGTTCAAGAGGGACGCGGAGAGGCTCTGATACCACTTGTAACATCCCGAACCTTTTCTCGACGAAGATATTGTCCGCTTTGGGCTTCGACGCTCACGGTTTTCGACTTGGGGTGCAATTCAAGGTGACTTCCCATAAGGTCACCCATCCTTGTTGTACTCCACATTGAGCACGTTTAACTTCGGAGTTATCACAAGAACTCCTCCGTTTCACCCCAAAACGCGTCTTGTCAGTTAAGGTCGGTTTCCTACTTATGAACCATGGATCTCTCCCGTGCTTTAAAAAGGAGGGATTCGCCTAAGGTGTTACATACACCCCCCCCCCTCGGGACTCGACGTCCTCGTTGAGGTTTGCCCCACCATCGTTCAAGAGGAACGCGGAGAGGCTCTGATACCACTTGTAACATCCCGAAATTTTTCCCGACAAGATACTGCCCGCTTTGGACCTCTACACCCGCACGGATTTCGACTTGGGGTGCAATTCAGTGAGTTCTCACAAGAACTCCTCCATTACACCCCAAAACGCGTCTTGTCAGTTAAGGTCGGTTTCTTACTTATGAACCATGGATCTCTCCCGTGCTTTGTCGATGTGGGATTTGCCTATGGTATCATAGGTAACACCTTAGGCAAATCCCACATCGACAAAAGCACGTGAGAGATCCATGGTTCATAAGTAAGAAACCGACCTTGACTGACAAGACGCGTTTTGGGTGTAATGGAGGAGTTCTTGTGAGAACTCCGAAGTTAGACGTGCTCAGTGTGGAGTACAACAAGGATGGGAGACCTTATGGGAAATCACCTTGAATTGCACCCCCAAGTCGAAAACCGTGCGGGTGGAGGCCCAAAGCGGACAATAGCTTCGTCGGGAAAAGGTTTGGGATGTTACAGTATTTATAAAAAATAGAAAAGAAAAAATAAAGGTAACGGGAAAGTAACCGGCAGTTCTTGTCTCCCCCTATTTTTTTTATTTTTTTTTTCTTAATCAATGGCTTAAGATGATTCTAACTAATTTTAATGGCCTAGATCTATGTAAGTTACCTAACTTAAAATTATACCCAAGTTACTGTAAGAGCTCCCTATAATTTATATGATGCAATTATATATAGGACGAAGGCGCATGCAGCTAGCTAAATTCTGGGCAGCTGTTCTTTTCTTCCCTCAGCGTTTCTTCATTGGTCCGCCCTTTTCTTGACATAATTAATGAGTGAAGATGGTTCAAGAATAATAGTCATATCATGTATATACGAGAAGAGTAAGAACAAACGATTTCACGCATTACCAAATAAAGATTACATGTCCATAATTTAATACTAGCTAAACATCAGAAATAACCAAAATTGACTAAATTATTTTGAAAAGTAAGAATATATTATATGTGACTGAAAATCACACAATGTCATATTGAAACGAAAAAATTTGAAACCCTGAAGGCTAGGCATGGCAAATGAATTTATTTCATGGACGGGGATTCATAGACTTATGAATCCAAGTGACACCTATATTCGACTCGATAATAGTTTATCAATAAGCCAATTTCTGCGCTCTCGTATCATCATGTGAAATGAAATTAGAGACAAAGCCAGAAATTTGAATAAGGAGGTCTAATGTGAACTATAATAATTGGAAAGTGGTCGGAATGAACACATTATCGAGTACTCTATTTCGCAAATTTATTGCGAATTTTACATATAATTTTATCTACATTTTTACAAACTTCTTATATCTTCAATCTAACTCCTCCACCCAATGAAATGATTACGGAAGAAAGTACAGGAAAAGTGGGTAAGGTAAGCAGACATGGAGGGACAGTACTATCCCTTTCATTCTCTCTGTCATCTCTCTAGAGCATCCATTCCGGCCGAGTGTGGGGGCTGCTGTCGGCGTCTCTCCGGCGGTCGGCGGTAGCCCTCCTTCCAATTTTTTTTCGTTCCTGTTTCTTTCTGTGCGCTTGTTTTACTTTCTAGCTTTTTGTTTTGTTCTGCCTTCCATGGCTTTTTCTTTCCCGTCAGTGGATCTTTCTTCCTCCCCCTCTGGTGGATTGAGCTTTTGCCCTTCGATCTGGTCACTCGGATCTGGAGAAGATGGTTCGTTTCTAAGATGCGATGGAGGCTATATCTGGTCCAGATCTATCTTGTTTTCTCCTTTTCTCTCCCTGGTCTACCTCCATGTCTCACCTTGCAGATCTAGGTGCGTCGGAGATGCAGCTCTTAGCGTTGGACTCTGAGTGAGAAGCTTGAAGACAGAGGTCCTCTTCCCTCTGGTTCCTTCATCGGCGATGGTCGTTTGCTGATGTCCCTGGGTTCTGATTGGGGGTGGCTGAAGCCGATTGGCTCGGGAATGGAAGACGGGAGGTTCTCTTCCCCTCCCCTTCGTACGAGTTTGGTGGGATTCGAACGATAGTTGCGGCGCTTTCCGTCGGTGGCGGCGCCGGGTGGGTGTTCTCGACAACGGCTGTGGGTCTCGGCAGCGGCGATGGGGAACAAGAGGAAACAGAGTGTTGGATTTAGGGTTTTGAAACCCTTTCTTGTTTTGGCCCGGGTCCCGACCCTATTGGGTTTCCGGCCACATGTTTGGGCCTTTTTTATTTGGTTTCTGATCCAATTTCGTTTTACTCTGCATGTACCTTTTCATTTATGCTTTGATCCGGTCGCATTCTTAATGACATTTCACTAAAAAAAAGAGGGA